CGGTGAGGGCGTGTCCCAAGAAGCTGCCGCTGGCGGACGAGGTGATCGAGTCGGGGCTGGTGCAGGATTTCGATGCCAGCCTCTCGGGCATCGGCCAGGAGCTGGGCGCCGGGGCCTACAGCATGAGGTAGGGGGACTGCGCTGCGAAGGGAGCCCCGTTGGGGACTGGCGCGTGGCGGGGCGTCGTGGGAGGACGCGTCCGTGGGTGCCGGCGACTCGTGGCTGAGCTGCGTGGGCGCGAGCGCCGTATCCCGTTACCACGTGGTAGGTGACTCCTTCCCCTCTGCCTGGTGCCTGGCATTTATTGGCACCCCTCGGGGGCAGTTGGACCTGCTCCTCCCTCCTCCCAAGCGAAAGGAAAGGGAGGTCGATTTAGGATACGCCAGCGCTGCACAGACCTAGAACTTGGACCCAGTGCCGGGAAGCCCTGCGCTGCCCTCGGCACGAGGCTGGCGTGGGAGACTCCAGGGTTTTTAACAACCTGGGTGAGTAATTTGTCTGAGGGCAAAGTGGTGTAACGGTGCCGCCTGCTTCGGCGTTGCGTAAACCCGAGAGCCGGAAACTGGACTCCGTCTGTCTCTCCTGGTGCTGCCTCTGAAAGCAGCAGGGATTCGGCCACAGCTGGAGACAGGTGACAGAGCTGGGCTGAGGGGACATGGAGGCTCCTTAATTCCCAGGCATCCGCTGGGCTGCTGATCCCATGCAGAGCGGCTGATGCCACATCAATGAGTCCACCTGGAAGTGTCATCCTGCCCTAATGAGTTGCCCCTGGGAGAGGGGGAAATGAAGAAGCCCCTTTTGAGTGCTGTGCTATGATTTGAATGCAGACCTTAGCTTCAGACCTGGCCTCCCTGCGCTGTGGGTCAGGGAGGAGTTCGAGTCTTTGCCGAAGGGTGGTAAAGTGCGTAATTAATGCTTGTTTTGTGGTCACCAGCAGACGCCTCGCTGGTGCTTGGGGCCTTTGTGTGGTAGGTGCCTTACTGAGAGATGTGTGCGTCAAAAGAGTTGAGTGTGTTGCTGACCCATCTGGAGCGTGGTTTCCTCTGGTCCCAGCTGCACAGGCTTTCAGCACTGGAGACCTTTGGTTTGGTGCAGGATGGTGACAGTCACGCTTGTAGTCAGAGAAGGTGCGGGGCATAGGCAGAGTCAGGGGGAGCGATAAATAGCCAGTAGGTGCGATTTTTATGGCTCGTACGTATTGATAATTCCCCTCCACCACTACCCCAACTAATAGAAAGTGCCACCTGTTTCCCTCCAGCTTGCTTGTTTCCTGTGGATCTTCTGGCTTCCAGGAAAGGGATCAAGGAGACCAGGTAGCAGGTCAGGGAAGCAGCACTTGCCCTGCAAAGCGTGTGGGGATCTACATGAAAAGAGGGGGTGAGAGCTCAGAGTCACCAGGCGTAAGGGGGAATGCGGAAGGAGGGCCACATGAGACTGACTTTGGCTTGGGAAGGAGCATGTGGCAGTGAGGGGGAATAGATAGGGAGCAGGGCCTTGCAGGCAAGGGGAATCGGCTGCTTGAACTTCACCTTGCGTTGGAATGGCGTGGGGAGCCACTGAGGGAGTTGTGTCGAAGGGAAGATCCAGTCGGTTTGCACTTTGGTTTGCTCACAACAGTTCCTGCCCAGCTGAGGTGAAATCAGAATAAAACTTGCTTGAAATAAAGGGAGGGGGAAGTCCGAGATGACTCCTTGATTACACACCCGAGTGATGAGAAGGCTCTGGAAGCAGTGGTGGGGACAGGATCCAGAGTTCAGCCACAGAAAGCTGGTGCTGACATGGAGATGCCTGAGATATGGGCCAAGATGAGATGGGTCAGGACTGGAGGAGCAGATCTGAGTCATTCATGCTAAGATGGCAGCGGAGGCATGGGTGGAGGAGACGGCCCTAACCTTTTTTTGCCCTCACAGTCATGGAGGAGACGGCCCTAACCTTTTTTTGCCCTCAAAGACATTTAATTCCATGCAACTCCATTCATGCAGTTATTGCTGTTCATGTGTCCGTCGTTCACGGAGAATTTACTGCAACTTGGCCGCTCCGTGTTACCTCCCTGCCCCCAGCCTTGTCCCATGGTGAGGCCTAAACTAGTTGTCCCCAAATGAAACAGGGCCACATTACTGGGTTTAGCACTTGCTCACCATGAGATAATTGTGAGCACGGGGGCAGCTGAGTGTGGTTAAACCCCCAGCTTTGTGTAAGTGAGGGGCACAAGAGGTAAGAGTGGGCTCTGGGGAATTAAGGGCAGATGAGACTGGAGGGGCAAGGGGGCATTCCTCTGGACAAGCTGTTGGGAGCCTTCCCGGTCTTGACTGGGCTGTAGTGATAACCATCCCCAGAGGGAAAGTCTGTGGTGGATGTCGCTTTTTCCCACCATGACATTTCCCAGGGGTGGATGCCACCGTTCCCAAGGCGCTAATGCTTTACATGCAGCGCGTTGGCCTTTCCCGCACTCTCCAGTCGACAGGGAGCATAGAGCAGCGGTATTTCCTGTTTCTTTCCCTCTCCATGAGGGACAGGCAGTGTGAAATGGCAGCTCTTTATCATATGGGCATGATCCCTCATTTAAACTGGTGCCAGGGATAATTAGGGCTTCTCCCACTTGTTTCTGACTGTCTCTCTGCCCTGTGACTGTAGCATCTCACATGCTGGCCTCTGACCCATGGCCAAGGCTTGTAGGCGTAGGGACCCCTGTTAGGGATCTGGGCTCTGCTGGGCCAAGTGCTACAGAGATCGGTTTCCTGCCCCAAGAAGCAGTTAGAAAACGATATTGGTGGGGGGATTCCAGCTTCTCTGTTCGGGTTGTGATGCTTGAGGAAAAGGTCCAAGTCCTAACTAACCCTTCAGTTACATCAGCTTGTCCAGACCCTTGCAACCTGAGCTGCCTGCTATTCTTCAGTGCTTGGAGGAAGAGCAGTAAAAGAGAGAAGATGACTCCAGTTGAGGCTTGAGGGGCAGAAGAAGGAAACAGGGAAAGCTACTTTATGTGATGGGGCTTCTGGAAGAGACTACTCCCACTGCTTCCTGTCCCAGCACCCAGGAAGGGGACAGGTCTGTGGAGCTGATGGGAGCAGAGGGAAGAGACCAGGGCTCTGTTTCTGGCTTGGGCTGCTGACTTGCAGTGCAACCCTATGCCTGCCTCCTCTTCAAAGTGCCTTGTTTATTCAGGTGATAAACTGTCAGGTGGGGGTTTGTGCCATGCCAGACATGCTGGCTGGCATTTGTAGGCACCATCACAATACTGCTATGGCAGTGACACCTCTTCCTTTGGAGTCTCCAGTGGCTTCCTCTCTGCTCAATCACAAATAGGCCATTGCCATATATTTCTGTCATCACATTATTTGAGTCATGTCATGTGTAAGGATCTTTTTGGAGTAAATTGTCGATGGGCAGTTCTTGGCCCACTCTTAAGCCTCAGTGCAAATAGGGAGGCTGAGCATGAAGTCCTCCAGTTTTGTGACTGGTTTGCAGTCCATAGCAAGCTTTACCAGTCCCCTCTTGGAACAAGTTGCTTTTCAGCCAACGATGCAGAGCCCTGGGCGTATTGCAAGTGAAACCTGTCATCTATGCTGCAGGGATCACGTGTTGCATAAAGATGGCTTCAGTTAACTTGCAGCTGGTAGCAAAGAAACAGAGGGGAAAACATCAACATGCTCTGCTTGCAAAGTGACCTTGATAAAATAACTCAGTTGTGCCTCAGACCCAGCTGTGCAGGTGATAAAACCAGCTGTTGGACTGACAAAGAAGTACACAACCCCCGCTCCCTCTTCCCACTAAGCTGGAGAGGCTTCTTACTGAGATCCCCAGGGTACAGAGCAGTCCCTCACCCTGTAGATACTTGTGCAGCTCCAACAGCAGGTTGCCGTTAGCAAACGTGGCTCCCTCCGTTCCTTAAGAAAATGATCCAAACTTCAAGGACTTGTTGAAATCTGACTCTTTTTTTTTTTTTTTTTTTTTTAACTTTCATCCACCTAAGCTGACCATAAATAGTGCCTGCGTTCCGCTAGGTAAATGCACTGATCTTGGTGTCCTGACCCCTGACATTTCCTTTGGTCTGTCGCATAGCAGGCACAGAGGGGAAGGACTTTCATGGCCAGGTGCATTTTCTGTGGGTTTTAGGGTTTCCTCTATTATTTGCCCACTTGTTGCCTTTTTTTGCAATCGCCCTCCCTCTGGCTATGGAGGAGGCTCATTACTACCTAGTGATTGCTTGCTGGTAGGTGGCCATTAGCAACAGCAGTGATGATTCACACCATAAGAAAAAATGCTTGGCCACAGTAAAAAAAAAAAAAGTGATGAGGTGTTGCGAGCTGCTAATGAAGGGTGTCATTAGTATCTTTCTCCAAAGCAACCGCTTTAAGAGATCAGAGAGGGCTTTGTAAATTTTTGTGTGTAACTGACCATGCACTTTTGTCTAGAAAGCTTCTCTCAACTCTTTCGACCTTTTGTGTTTTCAGGAGAGCAGAGCAAACAGGGCCGATGTGTGGTGTGGAGGGCAAGGTGCTTTGTTGCATTGCATTGCAAAGTACTTTTAAAGCAAGAATGATGTGGGAATTTGTTCCAGTATGCTTGGAGTTCACGGTGACAGTTTCAGAGCCCCAGAGGAGCAGTTTCGCAACAGAAATCCCCTCCTCTCCCTCTGGATGGCTGTCTTCATTGACACTGTCAATGGCAGAGCGCGTCTGAGCTGTGAATCATTGGGTATCATGGGGGTTCTGCTAATAGCAGTGCGTAATTGAGTACGCTCAAGATTTTGACGTTACCCAAACAGGGAAATGAGCCACAGCGAGGTCTGGGCTGAGCTGCTGAATGGCATTTCAAAAGGGTGTCTCATGAGAAGACAGGCATTAGCAAAGTGCTCACGGTTTAGGCTTAAATGAGGGTGCAGATAGTGCCTAGGGTCACAACCTTTGACTTATCTTTGGGAAATCGTTAAAAATTTGTATTGCAGACGATGATGGTTGAGAGTCCAGGCATTTTAGAAGCACCGTAGAGCTGCCTAAGCCCTGCCTGTGGTGTTTGGATTTGTTTTTTATGATACTGCCTCTGCCAATATTTAACTTTTTATTGCAGCATTTGACATGTAGAGCTGACCCTATTACCCAGGTCATGTAGCAGGGGAACATAATG